GGCTAACAATCAAATCCACATTTTGTTTTAGCAAGATCTCTCAGGTAGGAGTGAAAAATGACTTAAGAAAAAATACTGAAAGAAGGAAAATTAGTTAAGAAACTGATGTGGCAAGACAGAAATGATGAAGACCTGAATTAAGGAAATAGCATATAATGAAAAGAAGTTAATTGATACAGATACAAAGGATGTAAAATCAACTTGATTCTATGACTGGATGTGGAGAGTGAGAGTGACTCAAGGTTTGACTGAGTAGGCCCAACCCAACAGCTTCACATTTTAATCACACCACTACTTTATCAAAATCTTAAAGCAGATAAATTTAGTCTCAGGTCATCCTCATTTCAGCAATAGCCACAGCATGTGACTTTCCCCTCTTTGAAAACTGTACTATAAACATTAAAATTACTGCCCCTTGGCAACTCCACGTTAATTGTTTAATATGCATACAGTAAAGAGAGCTATTAAATGTTTTCGATAAACCACATGCAGACCGTCACTGAACATAAGAGACAAGCTACAGAGAATATGTGCAACTTAGTAAACAGTATCATAATCAGCACTCTAAGCTTAAAAAAACCTAAATGCCCTTTGAATGAATCTATGGACACCTGTTTTAAGATTCAAAAAAAGTATAATAATTCATAACTTCAAGCTACATCTATTGCTTTTTCTCATTTTGTTTGTAAATGAAAAAACAAAAACAAAAAACACTATCCTTATTCCCCACGTCAAGGATCTGTAAAGTACTGCATTAGAATTAATAATAACCATTGGAAAAACTTACTGTGACTTCAAACTTACTACCATTGTAAGGGTAAAACTATGCCAAAGCCAAAGCCTTCCAGTAACTAAATGCTCTTGGAAAGTGTCCAAAACAATGTTATAGTAAATTTCCTACTTGTTTCATCTAAGATCAAGAAAAACAAGTTAACTAAAGACTGGATTATGTTTAAATAGACTATAACTAAAAGTTATACCTCAAATAATCAGTCAGAAAAATCTTTACTCTGTACTTATGATGGGCCCTATAACCAGTACAGGTCAGGTGGGGAGACAGCTGCACCTAGGAATCTAAGACACATATTAATTAATATTATTTTCAGAAAAATTTCAATACCAATACCTTCCATTTTGAGAGAAATAGATTTTGGCAGAATCTTTTAAAATAATGGCTTATTATTAATGATACTGAAAATCTCCATAGCTTCTATAATGTGGGCAGCATATGGTGGTAGTTACTCTGGTTTCTAGTTTGAGCCACTGTTTAGTGTCCTGTTATTTGTGGTTCAGATTCCTTTTTTACAGGTTGCATGCCTCATAGATATATACCAATTTCATATATAAACAAACGTAAAGATGCTTTATGTGAGTGCATATGTAAATGTAGCTATAGGACACTCTAGACAAGCTGTGATTCCCACTAACAATGTTTTTTTATATAAAGTTCTACTGAATTGAGAAGCAAAAGCCAAGAGTTAAGAGAAAAATCTGGCCAAAAAGCAAAGGGAGCTACAAAATTAATTCTGGAAGCCAAAACAACCTAAATAAAGCAGGTTTTCAAAACAAACCCAACATATTTTCACTGAGCACTTTCTAGTTTACCTATAAACATTCGCATTTTTAAAAAGCTGAGTGGTACACCAACTTTCATTTATGAAAAATGACATCCTAGGATAAATTTCTAATTTCCAAGAAAAATAACTCAAGTTTAAAGATCTGCATACAAAAATAATAGAAGCAAGAGCTGCAAAGAAATGAACCCAAAAAGCAAACGTGGTTTTACAGGAAACATGGAAGCTGTCTGCAACATTTTAAAGTGGGATGGACTGAATATAACATACACAAGACCCCAAATGAACAAATTTAGCATAAATATCCCAATGTGTTCAACATCTACTGAAAGAAGCAATCTCATTCCAATAGATACTTGCCACAAAAATTGCCACAAACTGGTTACTTCTATTTTTTTAATGCTAAAACAATGAGAGATTTGTTGCAATATATTTTAAAATTTACCAATACTGAGCTATTAAATTTCTATTAGTGATGCTTCAACTAAGGATTTGTGCTAAGAACGAAATCTGTTCATACAGCAATGAAAATGAAGCCTCACTAAAGACATTCAACATAAAGATGACCCCTAAAGGCTCCTTGATGCACATTTGTAACCACAGTATTCGTGATATGCAGTACACTAAACTAGCAACAGATTGGTTAAAAACAGTTTGGATTCTCAACTTCCCATAATATAGGCGACATTTTTAGAAGCAATCATATTAAAATAAATGTGTCTTTCACAGTTACGGGATGAAATTTTAAGCTGGACAGGCACCAATGCCCTGATTTTCTACTCTTTTCATAAACCATATGACTTCCACATGCTGACAATGTTTTATGCTTTAACCTGCAGTAAAGGCTTTACATCATTTTAATGCTCAGGGCTTAAAATGCAACAGAATCGCCCCCGCCAAATGCAAGGAATATGTTTGGTTTACCTACAGTGATTTCAACCAGACTACTAGTCAGAAAAAGTTTAATGAAAGGTTTTCCCAGTAAGTAACTTTACACTTCCATGAAGAAAACAAAAAGAAAATCTGAGGTAAGGGTAGGTGGAAGAGAAAATAATGTTTTATTTTTCCAACTCTTAGACATTTTAGTTTTTTATTTCTGAAGTATTGAACATTTAAAAACTCTACATCTAACAAAATATCTTCCAGAAAAAAATATACTCTATTATGTAGTTACATGGGATTTTCCTCCAGTTTTGGCAAAGTAATGTTTCAGATTAAGATAGAAGGTTAAAACAAAAAATTCTGGATATCCTAGTCTAAAACAAACCAAAGGTTCGGCTTTATATCAACATATTTTATATTCTAAATTTGAGACTTAGAAGACACATCAATTTTTTTTTTATTCAGGTCAATCTAAATATACATACTACCTCACGTTTACAGTCAGCTCATCTGTATGAATGATCAACTGCAGAAATTTCAAATCAAAGGTCATAAAATATACCATAAAACTGCATACTGTGTCTACGTGACTTTCAGTTTTTATGGAATCTAAGGTCCTTTACTGATAGGTTTGAGAATTGGTAAGTTTGGAGCCAAGTATGTAAATACATTAAGTCTCAACAGTCAAAAGAGCAATTATGCCAATTCCTTTAGTTATTTAAAGGTCCATTACACAAACTGTCACAGAAAGAGTGCTATTGAAAAACTTCTATTTCAGACTGAAGAAACTACAAAATATATGGTCTTAAATTCTCCTGGTGTAATGTTATTAAATATTAAAGACTGTGAGAAAAAAAGAGATGTTGTAACCCTCTTGCCTTTGCAACTCTACTTGAAACTTGAGAAAACAATCAGAATTCAAATTTTCCAAATTTGACTTATAAACATAATTCAACTAGATCTAACAACTTAGTTGTGCAATTTTAAAATGAGTTTAATGCAAAGCACTTCAATCCTGATGTGACAATTACCTGTGGCATAAATGCAAAGTAAAAACAAATGCAAGTCCTTTTCATCTAATGATGCATTTTATAGTAAAATCACAAAAAGCACAACTATATTAGCACAAACTAAATAAACAGGCACAGGAGGCATCATGTCCATCTGGCAAGAGAAATGTAGCATGCCAAGAAAGAAAGGAAGGACTGAAGGAGGAAGAAGGGAAGGTTAGGAAGGGAGGAAGGGAGGGAGGGAAAAGAGGTTTCTACACCTGCAGGATCCCAGAGAAATGAACTAGTCACATCACTCTACCCTATTAGATACAAAAGGGTTTTTAAAGCTTCAGGGTAAAAAACAGCAATCCCTTAACACCATTCAACTTTATACAGTATAGTATCTTTAATGTCAACTGCCTTCCATCCTTCACTCACCCAGTGCTTCCCCACTCTTCCATACCAGCTTTCAGACAAATCCGAGACAGAATAGGGTGGGGTAGAAGAAAAATACAAGCAGCGCCTATCAACTACTCCCCCCGCCACCAAATAATTTCCAACAGTTTTTCCTACTACGAAAATAAGTCTCCCTATCTCAAGATACACAACAGTCATCCTGTGTCTTCAGTAGACACACAGAGACGCATACCCATGTCAGCACTCCAGACCCCCACCGCACGCCCCCGAATCTTAAGTAATGTTTAATGCATTTAACACGAAGATGATGAGATACATCTACCTACTGTTTTGGGGTGAGGGTGGGTGGAGGACTCCTTTCAAAGTAGCCCCAATAGTGTAACCAAAACACGGTTCCGGAATAAAATATTAAGAACACTTTTCCTTTCCCACCTATCTATGGACTTAAGGATGCAAAAATCCATCTCCACACCACCTCATCTCTAAAATTCTTCAGCCCGGAGTTTGGGGTGGAGATTTGTCCAGGGGAGGGGGCGGAGGCAGGGAGGAGAAGTGTGAGCGGGCAATGGGACACAAACGAGTTGCTAACCCCAGCTACCCCGCACCACGTCGCCAGCCCAAAGGTCCAGGACGCGGACCTCACGCACGCTTCTCTGCCCAGGCCCAGATAAAAGCTATGACTCCAGCTATCTAACTTCCTATCTATAGACATTTATTCAAGACTAACATATCACACAAGTACACGTCACACAGTTTAAAACACAGTTATAAACCCCAAACAAACCCACACATCTCAAATTCACCTCGCAGTTTCCCAAACTCCAAACAGGAGACCCCACCTCCAGGATTCAAACCTTCCGCCCACAGTGGAGGAAACCAGGAAAAAAGAGTTGGGGAGCAGCCGACGCCTTTCAATTACCGGCCCCCACAAACTGCCCCACCCCACACCCTGCGTCCGGGTTACCCACTCAGAAGCCCCCTGCTTCCTCCCTCCTCTCAATCGGGCCGCTTAAGAGACCCATCCCCAGCCCACTCACTTACTCCCCAAAGCCCCTCAAAAAAAAAAAAAAAAGTGAAGAGAAAGAAGTAAGGAAAGAGACTTGAGGTAGTCCGGCTTCAAAACCACTCGACTCACCTCAGAATCCTTGCTGAGTTCTCTCCGCCCGGCACAGCCCCCTCCCCAACGTCCCAGTACGAAGGGCTGAGGCAGGGAGGAGGGGAAAGCGGGAGGGGGAGGGGTGTCTTCCGCGTGGGGCGCCAGTCGGGAGGGGACTGGGGAGGGGTTGAGGCCGGCGCAGGAAGAGGAGAAGGGGGAGGGGAGGCCCCTATCTCCCAGTCTCCCCCTGAAAACCTCCCTTGTCTCTATCACATCAGACTGACTGTCTTTGTCTGGCTGACAACCGCCATATTGATATCAACAGCCCCGCTCCCACCTGCTGCAGCCGGGCGGCCCTGGGAGTTGTAGTTCTTGCCTCCCTTGAGTAAAAGCTCGGGACTTCGCATCCAGAGACCCCAGGGAACTACAGCTCCCGGCAAGTCCCGCGCCCATCCGCCTTCCCACAGGGAGGAGGGGTAAGGGGCGCCAGAGCCATGGGGACTACACATCCCAGAATACCATGTGTCCCAGGTCCAGAGAGGGGACATGATATCATGCTGGAGTGCAGAGGGAGGATGAATTGGCGGCGGGGATGAATTTAAGCTGGCCGAAGGAGGCGTTGGAGAGGAAAGGGACGGAAAAGAAAGATGACCACAGTTCCCATGATGCACGGAGAGATGACTACATTTCCCATGATGCCTCGGGGAGGGGGCGTAGAGAAGAAGGACTGCATGTCCCGCGATGCTCTCGGCGGGCCGGTGGCGGTGATTGAACCGGAAGAGGCTTTCTGCGTTTGAGGAGTGGAGTGTCTGGTACTGAACAACCAAAAGTCCAATATGAAACTGGTGAGTCTCTGCTCCTAGGTCAGAAAGCAAAGGTGATGCCATATCCTTTTGGACTTCTTCGTTTGCACCTTGGGAAGGGAAGTAGAAAGTGGGTGGACCAAGGAAAGCTGCTGTTGTTGAGGGGATTTGAGTTTTATCCCTCCACTCTCCACCCCCAGCTGCCTAGAGATCTTATGTATCCGTTGACGGGTCCCTTTGGTTAGATAAGACGTTGACTCTCGCATTTCTTCTACGAACTAAGGTTGGGCTTTATGAGCTAGGTTTGACTTCTCAGCTGCCACGTAAGTGTTGAAATAGGTTAACTTCTTTCCATGCTATTGGCACCTGATTAGCGTTTCTTCCTACCGTTGTTGAGGCGGCTTTTGTTAGATCTGAGCAGAGAGTAGAAAATATTGGGCAGAGGGTAAACACTTATTAAATTTTGTATCATATACTCCTAACTGCCCTAGGACTTTAGAGAAGGACGAAGTCAGGGTGTGATTTTGGAGGATTTGAGTCTTAAACACTACATAGAGTGGGTTGAGAGGAAGTGTTAAGGCATTCCACCCTAGGGACTGCATAAGCCAGTGTATCTGGAGGTCTTTGCATCACAAAACCCAAACACTTTGCTTATTGAAAAGCTTCTCAGACCTTTATTTTGGGCCGTTTTACTTATTATGCATAGATCTAACTAGTTTATTCTACCTCTATAGAATTAATAATAGCATTAAATAGGAGGTGTGAGATGCTGTTTCTCAACCTTTTAAAATTAATGTTCCTGCAGCCAAGTATGTCAGACTTTACTTTCAGTGATTTTTATACAAAGACAAAAGGTTTGTTTTCTTATTTGAACATACTTTTTCAAAGAGTGCGCGTGCACGCACACACACACACACACACACACACACACTACAGGTATATACTCTGCAAAGTGCTGTTTTCTGAAAAGAAGTCAGAGAAAGTATTAAAGTAGATTCAACTCCAAAACTGCTGCCATTTAAAGCTGCACTTAAGTAGGGAGAAGGGCACAGATTAGTAAACCTTGACTGTCGATTTGCTCCTGGGTCTGAATGTGAAACATTTAAGAAGGCAGAATTGAAAGTCACTGCCTTGCCCTATAGAAGCATGCAATTTAATGAAGATAGAAAAGAAAGGCAAAATTTTAATTCTTTGCAATTCATGGTGAAATAAAAACATGTTCAGGGTTTAGGGAATTGAGAGGATAATGGGGTGGGGGAGAGGTGGAAGATAGCTTCCTAGAAAGGACTCGAACTGATAAGAAAGAGGAGTAGGCCAGGGCCTTCCATGAAAAGGGTTCAGGTTTTAGGTGCAAAAGAGTTTGCACCTAAATGATTGGAGCACAGACCATGTGTCCCCAGTAAATGTTAAATCATATTTGGTGTGCTTGGTGAGAAGACATGCAAGTGTGAAACAATTTTTTTCCATAAAAATACATTTGGCTGAGAGCCAGGATTTACTTTACACACACTTTGGTTTGCTCATAATATTCCTCCTGCTTAATATATTTACAGATGTGGAAGCATGGAAGGGAAAAGAGTAGAAACTTGTTTTTTCCTTTAAGAACCAAAATATGCCTCCTAGGAAGAAGAAGTGTTCTATCTATAGTGCCTCCCTCTTTACTTTAAATCCATGTGTTACATATTAAAACTCATTTGGTAGTTGTTAGATGATCTTGTAGGATCTATGCAGAATTACCATCAACATAGCAAAGTGGTTTCAAAAACACTGATGCTCACTTAGACGTCTTTTGTGTGTCATGCCTCATAAAGTTGAAATAAATCGTCCCATGGCCTTGGGTTTTTAACTTTGTGTACTGCTTCAGGAATATGTAGTAATAAACCATGCTTTACATTTATATCATGAAACACAGAAATACATTTTATTGAGCACATTCTTGTTTTTGAGATTATGACTTCCCAGAATACCCTCCCCATGCACAATCTATGACCACATTTTGTTGATTAATTCTACCTCTGTTCTTGAACAAGTCTCTTTCTCTCCAGTCCCACTAATACTGCTTTTGTACTGCTTTTCACCTGATACTTGGAATTCAACAATACTTTCTAAATGATCTCCCTGAGTTCAGTCTTGACCCCATCCAGTCTACTCTGCATCTCAGAAGTTGTTTTAAATTGCAGAGTTCCATAAAACCCCTCAGTAGCTTCCTTTGCCTTTAGAATAAAGTCTTACAATTCTTAACTTGGCTTACTTGGTCCTGCAGAATATGGCCCTGCCTACCTTTCCAGGCTCATACCTAGCCTTCATCTCCCTTGCTCTCCTGGTTCCAGTTATATTGTACATCTTCCAGTTCCTTCAGCTCACTATGCTTTTGCCTCTGGGACTTTAAGTGTGTTGCTTTGCCTACAGTGCTTTTTTGCCTGCCTTATTTTTTCATATATCTTAGGTCTCTGTTTAGTACTTCTTCAAGGTTTCCTTGAATTGGTTACCCCCGTTATATGCTTTCATGGCACATTTTCTTTTTGTAGCACTGGTAATTACTGGTTTTATGTCTGTCCTCCTTCATATATTCCCAGGGCCTGACACATAGTATGATGCCACTGAATAGTTGTTGAATAAATAATTTCTGAAGGATTATCAAGTCCTGTGACTATTGATAAGAAAAGATTAAGAAATATATTTAAAACATTACAATAAGCAATATCCATTGGAGTAAAAAAAATAATTGCTACCTTTTGTGGAGCAATTATTGTGTGCCAGGCGCTATGCTAAGTACCGTGTAGTGTCCCACTTACTCCTTTGATTTAGGTGATAGTATTCTCATTTTACAGATAAAAAGTCTGAGCCTCAGGAAAATGAAGTGGCTCACAGTTCCACAGATGAAAAGTAGTAGAACCAAGATCTGAATCCAAGATTCCTTCCTTAAGACTCTTGGTTAATGAGGGCCCGGATTCCAGCACCTTGCAAAGTACCTGGCATATGTTATCTCTTAATAAAAGGAAGCCAGAGTGCATACTGGGAGAGTTTATTCAAAGCTGTTTTTAAAATTAGCTTTAGAGGCGCCTGGGTGGCTCAGTTTGTTAAGCGACTGCCTTTGGCTCAGGTCATGATCCTGGAGTCCCAGGATCGAGTCCCACATTGGGCTCCCTGTTCAGCAGGGAGTCTGCTTCTCTCTCTGACCCTCTTCCCTTTCGTGCTCTCATTCTCTCTCTCTCAAATAAAAAAATAAATAAAATCTTTTAAAAAACTTTAAAAATAAATAAATAAAATTAGCTTTAAATGTGAGTTTGATTAAATTAAGATCTTTAAAAAAGATTATTGGTAAAAAAAAATTAAAGTTTGGAAACTTCCTTGATAATATAAAGGGCTCCATATCAGACCATACCAACTGAGTTGAGTGCCAAGTTGGTTTTTATACTACCCAATTTAACCTCTGTAATGCCATTTATAGTTCTCTAACTTTACACATCACTCTCTTGGTGGCTTTACACACACCCAAGGGAAGACCACGGATGTCATTATAAAATATTCCTTGGATATCTCCTTAGAAAGATACCAACTCCAAATGATTTTAATTACTGTCTATAATATTATGCAGTATTCAGGCAGCTTTATTAACTGAAAAAAGTTGATTGGCACCTTCAGTTAACCAGAATCATTTTTAAAGAGCAGGAAAATTAGAAGATTAGAAGAAAATTAACATATTTTAGAGCCTGTTCTGTTATTCGTATAAATTGAGCCTACCTGGGTATACCTAGGTGGCCAGCTCAGGAAAGGATAGAAACTAGAATTCTCATCAGGATCGTTACCAAAACATCATGGAACAGGGGCGCCTGGGTGGCTCAGTCCTTAAGCATCTGCCTTTAGCTCAGGTCATGATCCCAGGGTCCTGGGATCGAGCCCCACATCCGGCTCCCTGCTCAGCGGGAAGCCTGCTTCTCCCTCTCCCACTCCCCCTGCTTGTGTTCCCTCTCTCGCTGTGTCTCTCTCTGTCAAATAAACAAATAAAATCTTTAAAAAAAAAAAAAAACATCGTGGAACAAAAAAATACTGAATACACTGACATATTGAATTTGAAACATCTAGGAATTTAGTCATTCAAATAAATGAAGATTAAAGAAGATAGTAAGAAGCAGTTCAGGAATGCAGCATGTGTCATACTTTCTATGGATCCAGAGATGGAGAGAATCTTTTTATTAAGTCAACAAAGATTTATTATGCAACCACCGTATACCCTTGGCATTCAAAGTTTTAATACTGTCCATTTTAACTCTTACATTTGACCCCAAAGATTGATGACAGGAAATTATTTATGATTTTGCTGAGGCACAGATTTGAATATGACTTTAAGATTAGTGATAAGCTAGGCACCTGGGTAGCTCAGTTGGTTAAGTGTCTGCCTTCAGCTCAGGTCATGATCCTGGGGTCCTGGGATCAAGCCAGGAGCCAGGCTCCCTGCTTAGCGGGGAATCTGCTTCTCCCTCTCCTCCTCCCCCCTGATCTTGCTCTCTCTCTCTCTCTCTCTCTCTCTTTCTCAAATAAATAAAATCTTTAAAAAAAAAATAGTGATAATCCTTAGTGAATGAACCTGATTGCTTCAGAATCCATGGCTCTCTGTAGTTACTGTTGCTCTTTTGTTAAAAGTTCCGAGAGGTCATTTAAATGCTTGTTATGCTATACTTTTTGAATTTGATGGAGGAAATTACTTGCTGTAGTTGTATTTACAAATTTTAAAACTCAGGAAGGCCAGGAGATGTTCTTCAGTGATCTATGCTCCTTTATACAAAGTGCTGTTTCATTACTACTGGCTTTCTTGGGGAAGGCTCAAATTTTTAACTCACCATTTCTCCTAGGAAAACAGATGGAGCAAAGAAAGGGATTCATGGACTGCTCCCAGTGGAGGACAAATAAAATACCAAGTGGAACTGTAGATGATCTAGAAGATCTTTGCTTGAAAGGGGCAAATTCTGCTCCAAGGTCAATTTAACAAATCATTAGAAAGGGGTGTGGTTATTCCTCACCTCTGATCTGAGAGTGATAGA